GAGCTGGAGCCACTCCATGTGCTGGTGGAGGCGGCACGATCCTCTGTCCTTGCCTCTCGCCCCACACCACCAGCATGGCTTTATTGCTCTGCGGGAGAGGGAGCCCTGCCCTCTGGCTCACTCCTAGCCAAAATCGAATGGAGGAGCTTTTTGTCCATTGCAGATCCTGCCCCTAGCCTGCTCAGGTCTGTGTCTGGGAGCAGCCTGCACCGGTGTACCCCTTTCTGTGGGGGACTGACTGGTGCTGGCAGCGCTGGGCAGGGATGCACAGGCTCACTGTGCACTGCTGTGTTGTGAGGGGGGCTGCCAGCAAGTCTTAACTCAGCAACCTTCCTAGGCCAGGCTGAGGATGCGGGTGGCTGGCAACCTTTTCTTGACAGCCATGATAGAAGGCCTGGCAGGAAAAGATCCATGTAGAAGAGAACAAGTGTGTGTGGTGCATCCCACCAGTGCTCTTGCCTCCTCCCACCAGCTGGGGTTTAAAGACAAGGCAGCCTGGGTCAGCACAGGGCAGGGGACTATTCCCCCATGAACCTGCTCTCAGGGAGAAGAAAAGGTGTGTTGCTGCTGGAGAGCATCGGGTTGGGGTTGGCTGGGGCCTGGGAATGCTGAGAAGGACAGGGAGCAGCGAGGCAGGGCGAAGGACCTGGCGCAGGGACCCTGAGGTGTGTGGCAACCTGGGAAGGCACTGAAAGCTGCTGCACAGTGGGTAAACCCGAAGGAAAGGGCTCTCACAAGCCCTAAAAGCTGCTTCAGGCAAGAGCAGGGGCTTATTTACAACGCCCTACAACTTATGTATTTCTTTTCAATTTTACTCTGCTGTGAGCATATCGCAGTTCTCATTCTGTGTTATTAACCTGGTGTTTTGGAGCCTTTTTGAGAGGTGCTTGCTCTGAAGCTGATCTAGGCAATCCTTCAAGCTTGAAGCTGATCCTTCAAGCCAGACCCGGCTTGGGGCCTGTTTCAGATGGCATGGTGTGGCTCTCATGTGCCCTTGCAGTGAGACCTGCAGCAGTGGGTCCCTTGCACTCCTGCACATCATCCTGTGCATGGGCTGCCCAGCTCTGAGTTTATGCACTAGCTGCTGCCATAGACCCTGATCTCTGAGTGTCCACTGTGAGTGGAGCTTTCCCCAAATAATTATTTTTAATGGACAGGTTCACTGCCTGGTGTCCTTATCTCACCTCCTCTCATGGCTCCAGGCTTTTCCATCTCTCTAGGTCCCTCTGTGTTCAGGATGCCAGCTCAACACTGTCTGCTGGCAACGTGGGGGGCCCTGATAGCTGGGGCAGGGCCTTGCCAGTTCCGGGTCAAAGCTTGGTTTTCCTCTTGTGGCTTCTGTGTCACAGCAGGTTTAATTATAACCCCTTCTGTCACATTCCCCCAGCTTATCTTGTGTGCTCTCCCATGCTCACTTCCTCCTTGCTGGCAGCATCTCCATTGGCTACCAGCTGCTGTCACCCACAGGCGAGTAAAATCAGCTTTGGAACCTTGGGACAAGGAGACGAGGGCCCCAACTCTGGCTGGAGACCCTGGGGTCAGTGTGGGGCTGGAAAGTTGGACCTCCCTGAAGGCTTGCCAATAGAGGCAGGGCTCCAGCATTTGGGGAGCAGAGGTGCTCCTGGAGGGGAGGAGTAGGAAGGACCCTGTACTCCTGGGGGGCCAACAGTCAGAGCTCACTCATCCGTCCCCTCTGGCAGGTGACGCAGGAGTGGGTACAGCCCAGCCGCCACCATGGTTGCCCTCTCGCTGAAGATCAGCATTGGCAATGTGGTGAAGACCATGCAGTTCGAGCCCTCCACCATGGTGTACGACGCCTGCCGGATGATTCGCGAGCGGGTGCCCGAGGCCCAGATGGGACAGCGTAAGTCCACGGTGGGGCTGGCTGCCATGCCAGGGCCACCCCAGCGTAGCTCCTGGCATTTCACCCATCCACCTTTCTTCTCCTCTCTCTGTGTTTTAAGCCCTGTCTGGGCTTTTCCAGAGCAGTGGTTGGGGGGTGTGGGGAGCAAGGTCCAAGCCCTCCTACCCAGCTGAGGTGAGAGGCTGAGCTCTTGAAGCTCCCTCCTTGATGCCTCAGAAGAAATTAGGGGGTTTGGAAGGTAGGAAACCACATTTGGAAATGAAATACTCATCAAGCAATTTGAGCTTGCTGCCTGTTGTATCACTGCTCCTCTTTCCTACTCGCATCCATCATCGCTAGCCGGGACTAGGTGAGTTTAAACAGTTGCAGGGGTCATAGCAAGCGTTAATAAACCGTATTAGTCTTTCGTTTCTTGGGGGATATATAGCCCTCCATTGGGTCTGTGCTCTGCCAACAGCTCTCTGTGCTGATGCTCCATTACCTTGCAAAGCCTTGGCTCTAAAGTTTTCCTGGTGCTGCCAGGCTCAAAATGAAGCTTAGGCTCACAAGCTCGTGATGTGACTCCCACCCGTGCGGATGTAGCCTGTCCCCATCCTGGATGGGGGGCCTGGGGCTGTGGGGCATCGTCTTGGAGGTGGGGTGACTGCTTGTGGGGGCCCCTCGTGGGCCCCTGCCACACCCGAAAGCCGCCGTGCCACTGGGGAAAGGCAGCGAACAGGAGGTCAGGAGTCGTGGGAAGAGGAGGTGGAGGAGCGTGGTGACATCTGGGAGAAGTGAATTCATCGAGGATGAAAGGAAATGCCTTCTCGCGCCATGCCCAGCTGGCCAGCGGACCACGGCTTTCGGTTTCGGAGGGGGGCTGGCTGTTTGTGTGGATGCGGGGGTGTCGGA